TAACTACTATATATGAAATGGACTCGAGTAATGAGGGTTCCGTCTAAATTGAGGTAGTTAAAACTGAACAACTTTTTTTAGAACGCTTTTTGGGTTCGTACACAAAACTGCGATGTGAAGCGAATTCGCAACGCAAAAAATTACGATGCGAATTGCTGCGATGCGAATTCGTACGACAAGGCGTCTCCCAGGGTGACCATTCCTTAGACGACTGTCAACCCTAAGTATTAAACGTTTAAGAGTTCGCCAAACCATCTTAAGAAGAAAATTATATTCAAATTATAAACTGACTCAAAAAATATCTAGGTATTTATTACGAAGCTGTTGAAATAAATGATAACAAAAAATAAGCACGTTTAGTTTCACACTATAAGGATCAATTCAAACTTTTACGGAATCCGTAAAAATATGAATCCTTCGTAAAAATGTTATGTAAATGTAATTACACCGTTCTTTCAAAATGGACGAGTAAACGTGCGTAATTTGTTTGGTAAATTAGTTCCTTTATGTATATTACTACGTACACGTGTTCAGTTTATTACAAAAATGAATATTATATAGCCTTTTATTAAAGTACGGGATTTCCCTAACAATCTTTGTTACGTTTATTATTATAACGAGCTTCGCTCACAAACGATTTTACGTAAAAAGGAAATCTTGTATTTCCCGAAGGAGTAAGGAAAAGTAGATTTATAATAATATTTATACAAACTTTTTATATTAAACTATATGTTCGATCATTAAAGAGGGAGTATGGGACTCGCCTGAAAAAAATTCCGGGAGTTTTAAATATTGAAAAGGGAATGAAAAATATTAGACTTTGACTCGTTTTATCTAACTATTGTTTTCTTATACGACCATTTAAAAATAAGTTTTCGGGAAATACAAGATTTACTTTTTACGTGTTATCTAACTTTTTTTATCTAACTATTGTTTAGATAAAACGAGTCAAAGTTTAGGAGTGGGAGATAGCTTAACAATTAACGTCATTTCAGCGTATAAATCGTACTCAAAAGTGACGTCATGCGATATTTCAAATCAATATATCTTCGAAACCATTCGTTTCCGTTAGAAAAACATGTGTCTAATGTTTTTAAATAATCTACCAGACGGACATTGAAATAAAAAATTGTCATCTACCCTTTTTGTAGATCTTGATGTATTGTGTTGTCTCCGATTTCTGTTTGCACCCTCGTACGTATGCCGCTCGCGCCGCCATCTTGGAAAAATTGTGGCCAAAAACAGTTTTCTTGCAATATTTCTTTTCCTACATATTTTAGGAGAAAAACGTTACCAAAATTAAACTACTTACTCAAAATTTCCTATAATTTATGTGTATACATCTTTTTTGTAAAATACCTAAGTAGTTTTGGCGCCAGAGCAATTTTTTAGCAGATACGCTACAAACGACATCGCATCTGACTTTACCTGAGCTACCTACTCATATTTTTATAATAACTAGAGATCGTGAGACATATTAAATTGATTACAAACACTGGTTTATTCACGTGAATGATTAAATTTTCTTTAAGTTTCGAGCCACAAAAGAAAGACCTTTCATCATAAGCAACGTGCGCAGTCTACTGAGTATAAATTTTCACAGTATTTCACGTATTTTTGTATTAATTGAGCTGCTCATATCTGTAAGCCCCTAGTTTGCTGAATCTAATCGATTTACCTCGTCAAATAGATACGTGAGTAAAATAATTAAACTATATTATCAATGTTGTAAATTGTATTCAATTTTGTCCAATCAGAATTGACGCTAAGACCTCAGTTGTTCAATTTACTTTGGCTTCGAAGGTTTCAATTATAGATATTTAATTGAAACAACGGATTACAGGGTCTTACGTGATCTGGGGACCTTTGTTTTGCTTTGATTGGACTGATGTCAGGGCTACCTTATGAATGTTAAACCTTTTTCTTTTTAAACAAATGATTTTTATTTGTTTCAGTTTTAAGTGAATAAAAGTAGTTAATTAAGTTGTATTTGACTTCAGGAACCTTAGCTACCTTATAATCTTATTGTTTTTTTAACACTTGATAGGAATGTCAACATTTTTTAACAATGACATCAGCCATTTAAATTTATCATCTGTAAATTATGATGCCTATCCATCTATGTCTCCCTAGTACCTCAAGAGAGGTAATTCATCTTACTGCCATGATGAGCCGACTGATCGTACTTTAGGGAGCTGACGTGATTTATTGTTTGTTAATAAAGTGTAGGTCTAGATTGATTTTTTATTTATATTGGTGAATTTATATGTATATTCGTTACTCAGTCACGTCAAAACGGCTGAAGAGATTGGGATGAAATTTGGAACAGAAGTAGATTGTTGTTTGTATTAACACACATTATTATTCCACGGAAAAGCTGCTAGTAGAAGCTACATACATACATACATAACTTCATGCCTGTCTCCCATGGGGGAACGCCAATTACTACGATTCCTACATACCTCTTTCGCTTCATCAATAATCATCAATCTGTTCATGCATGCTCGTCGGTTAAGGGTACTTTTAATTTGGCCCTTCTTTAATATATCGCAAATCTGGTCACTATATGTCCGTCTAGGGCGCCCTCTACCGACAGCCTCATTTATATCCGCTCTGTATACTTCTTTCGTTACTCTACTTTCATCCATCCTTTCTACATGTCCAAACCAGAGTAACATTCCCTTTTCAATACATCATCTTTCAATCCACACCTTTCTCTAATAACACTATTTTTCACTCGATCACTCAATTTCATATTCGTAAAACTTACCGTAAAAGAACAAATAACTGAGATAAATTTAAGCGACAACCACAGGTCGAACATACTATCAACCTGTGGAATTTATTGTAACATATGAACCAGGGAAATAAACAACATTCTATTTCTATTCTATACATTAAGTGATTACTCCGTAACGTGTTTTAGTATAGATAGATGTTCTATCCGGAGCCGCGGAGGAATTATCGGGTTACCGGGGCTCCGGCTCGAAGTGTAGGAGTAGGAACGGGGTGGTTTTTAGTCAGTAAGAGTCTGACACTCCCTCCCGCCTCACCCAGGCAAGAGCAGTCATTGGATGATTAAAAAAAACCTCCTATAACAAGTTAAGTGAGTCACTAAATATTAAACTAGTTTTCCAACTATATTCCAGCTGATTTCGATATTCCAACTATAAAGAAAGATAAAACAAATCAATAAAACACACATCTAAACATACATACAAATACAATATTGACTTAGGTCAAGAACGTAATCAATGCTAAACTTCCAACTTTCCATTCCAAGGGTGGGGCTATTTCACCCTCCCCCTCTTGTCTCACCCCCCATTTCCCTCCCTGTTTCGACCCGTCTCGATTCTCAAACTGGCGACATCTTTTCTGACTCAATGTATAAATAGAAATGTTTAACTTTCACAGTATATTTGTACCCTGTTAAGCAGAAAAGATCCAGCCCACATTTTATTACTTTTGAGTAAATGAAATTTAATGTTGGGCAGATAATATAGGTGATCCGACAGAGAACTAAAGTTACCGATGTAGCCCAAAGGATTAGCAAGCTGAAATGGCAGTGGGCCGGTCACATTTGTCGAAGAACCGATGACCGTTGGGGTAGACGTGTTCTGGAGTGGAGACCGCGTCTAGGCAAACGTAGTGTAGGGCGCCCTGCAGCTAGGTGGAGTGACGATATACGTAAAGTGGCTGGTAGTGGTTGGATGCGTAGAGCTGAAGACCGAGCTCAGTGGCGTGCCATTGGAGAGGCTTATGTCCAGCAGTGGACGAAAACAGGCTGATGATGATGA